GTTTAATATCATTTAACCCTAAAATAGTTTACACCAAAATCATTGATTTCTATAATTCCCAATCTCCTTAAGATCCTTTTTAAACATTAGATTCTAAACCCTTTCAAGCTATTCCTAAAATACTAAATCGTTTTATACATTTAGTCTATTTAGACCGCCAGTTTACTGATTATATTAAATACAATATTTCTCTTACCCCTTTATTCCATAAATCCTAATAATTATACCAAAAATCTACTAAATCCCTTATCATTAAATCGAATCTAATTTAATAATAAGAGATTACTCAAATCGAAATTTATAAAGAAAAATAGAAATATAAAGAAAATAATAAACAATATACACAATCTAAAAGAATTTTTTATAAATACATTAAAAAAGACTAAATTGTTTGTATAGAAAAAACTTTTAATAAATTTAAAAGATTTAAAAATAATAAATGGGAAAAGAAAGCCGAAAAGCTTACTACTATTAGATATACTAAAATTATAAAGTATATCCCTATATACCTTAAGAACTATCTAAATAAGCAGTTTTCATTGAAAAGAATAAATATATTGATATATATAGAATTGGAAAACAAAAAGATAGCTATTTCGAGATTAGCTAAAAGAGAACAATTATACGATAACAACCTATAAAAAATAGAAGATTATGAAATTGATAAAAAGAAAACAGTTTTTAAAATTATAAAACAATTTAAAGAAGATCTAAATCCAATAAATAAGAATAATTAGAATAGAACTAGAATATATATTAGAAAAGCAAAGTTTTAACTATTTAAATATTATTATAGAAATCGTATTATTAGAATAAATAATAATGATATAAAAAAAACAATTAAATAATAGAAAAAATGAAATATAATAATTTCAATGATATAATTTATTATAGAATATATAATAATTATATAAAGTTATAGTATTTTTAAGAATAAAAATAATATTTTGATTAAACACTAACGAGGTAATTTACAATTTTTATAATACTTCGGAATATATAATACCCCCGGAATTTTGTAGGAGTATGGAAAAATGTATATTAAATTACATACAATTTATTAGATACAGCATATACCTTTTTCTATAATTCTATAATTAATTATTTTGAAATATACTAAAAAAAGTGACGAATTACTGAAAAAGTGACGAATTGCTGAGGCCCCCTTATTGGTACAATAGGGGGTAAAGAGGATCGTAACCCCCGATTACTAGATATACTTATAAGGAGTCAAATGCCCTCTCCTTACCAAGTATTATCGATAAAGCATATACCTGCCCACCCAAAAACTGGCATAACATTACATTCCGAAAACAAGTCATCAACGACCACCTGCACGATCGGGAAAAGTCGTAGCCCTTCTAGAATTGGGGAGGAACTCGGTATCCATAATCCATCCTCTTGTACCTTGTTGGGCCTGAATTTTCACGACATGGGAACCAATCAGATGAATGGAAACTCGGATTTTTATGGGGAGAATGTGAACAGAAAACAGAACATGGTAGGTGAAGAATTTATTACGGAGAACCTAGTACATATGGGCTTTTGGTTATTACCTAGTAGCTAGCTTCATAGGTTGCTTCTCTTTGGCTTGCTGGGAAAGAGGAGAGTGGATGGATCATGGATGCCATTCTGTCGGTAGGTATATAGTAGTTACATGCCTCCATGCGTACCTACATGCACTTTCTCACATCTTTCTTTCCCCGGATTTCTTTGAGTGTCGATTTGGATTCTAAGATTACATTTACTTTCATATTTCCATCTATTTTCCTCGGACAATTTGGAACTTTGAACTTTGTATTTATGAGTGAAAGTTGGTCTTTATATTTTACATACCTATCTTGACATCTCATTATTTTCCTCGGATGGGACTGAATAAAGTTTGTTTGTGCTAGGTAATTTGATTTGATTGATTTGATTGATTTGATTGATTTGATTGATTGATTGATTGATTGATTGTTTGTTTTCATTGATTGATCATAAATTCAATCCACCTGAGGCTGGCTTACGACAAACGCAACTCCTGAATCCGGACTTGCGAGACCTTCCATTCTTTACCCACAGAATACGAAACTCAAAACAGACAACAAGGTGACGCATATCCCTAGCGACATTTTTTAACGAAGAAGGGAAAGGCATATCGCTTCTCTACCTATACTACTATTTGAGATTCGTCTCATCGATATAGTAGCACTCACTACATAAGACATCCAAAAGTCAAAACGAATCATCATGAATTGTCCTTCGAGAACAGATGAGCCCTTGGAAAGCGATGGATATAATCAGAATCCAAACGCCTTGGCAAATGATCTCACCACCCGAGAAGATTTGAACGGTCGAGCAAACGGAAGAGCATTGAGGAGAAGTTTGGAGGATGAAGGCGTAGAGTCAATTCATGATCTAGTAGAGGATACTGGAGATGGGAAGGCGACGGGGAGTGCGAAGGGTGTTGGAGGGGGGGCTGGGGGTGATAGGGGCGGTGGGGATGGAGGGAGAGGCGGTGGAGACGGGAAGAGTGGTCACGTGGTTGAACCTTCTGTCGAAACTCTCAATATCCGAGATCAATCGAGAGGTAGAAGGGGAGCAGGCTATGGAAGAAATTGTCTCCATGTCTCGAGAGAACAACTCGTGAAAATGAAGCAGGTCATGGTCAAATTTGCAAAATTCGTGGGTCCGGGCTTCATGGTACGTAATTTGCCACCTCTCCACCAATGTCAAGATCAAAATTCACAATGTCAAAAATTGGACTTCATTTATATTAATGGATTCTCATAGGTTGCGGTGGCATATATTGATCCGGGAAATTATGCGACGGATGTGGCTGCAGGTGCAACTTATCGATTTAAGTTGTTGTTTATTGTGTTGATGTCAAATATCTTTGCCATCTTTTTGCAAAGTCTTTGTATCAAGTTGGGTACTGTTAGTGGATTGAATTTGGCGGAGGCCTGTAGAGCTTTCTTGCCCAAATGGATGAATTATGCCTTGTATATTTTGGCTGAGGGTGCAGTATGAGATTTTCTCCCCTTTTTGCATCTTCGATTTGACTGACCAATGATAGATTATTGCTACAGATATTGCAGAGGTGATTGGTACAGCTATTGCTATCAATCTTCTGATACCTCAGATACCCTTGGTTGCTGGTTGTGCTTTGTCGATTCTTGATGTTTTGATTCTTCTTGTATTTTATCCTGGAAATGGTGAAATGAAGAGATTGAGATATTTTGAAATATTTGTGGCGGCGTTGGTATTGGGTGTTGTTGTTTGCTTTTGCATTCAATTGTCACTCATCAAAGATACTTCGGTAGGGGAAGTTTTCAAGGGATACTTGCCTTCCAAAGCAATTGTAGAACAAAAGGGGTAAGTGCTTGTTATTCCACTCATCTGAATTTCTCCTAACGCACATTAGACTCTACCAAGCATGTGGTATTTTAGGAGCAACGGTCATGCCTCACAGTCTCTATCTAGGAAGTGGCATTGTCCAACCACGACTCCTCGCTTATGACAAGGACAATAATATTGTCAAAAAAGATTTTGATCTGGGTACCAAGGAACCATACTACCCCTCTCTTCCTGCCATCAAATTTTGTCTCAAATACTCCTACGCCGAGCTAGCAATTTGTCTCTTCACTTTCGCCCTCTTTGTCAATTCCGCGATTCTCATCGTAGCCGGATCAGCCCTCTATAATAACCCTGCGGCTCCAGAGGCTGATCTTTTCGGTATTTATGATTTACTCGTGTCGAGTATTTCGAAAGGTGCTGGAACCATTTTTGCTCTCGCTCTATTATTATCGGGTACGAGTGCTGGCATTGTTTGTACCATCGCCGGACAGATGGTTTCAGAAGGTGCATTAAATTGGACTATTAGACCTTGGTTACGACGTCTTATAACGAGAAGTCTGAGTATCACACCTAGTATTATCATTGCCGGAGCTGTTGGTCGTGAAGGTCTATCAGCTGCTTTGAACGCTAGTCAAGTCGCTCTTAGTATTGTTCTTCCATTTGTTACGGCACCGCTTATCTATTTCACGTGTCGTAATAGATATATGACGGTGAGATGTCAGGGAAGACGAGCTGCGTTCGGAAATGATGATGAGAATGTGAGGGGAAATGGAGATGCAACATTGGAGACGGAAAGTGTGTATGAGCATGAAGGCGCGGGATTGGGGGTCGAAACGGGTGAGGGAACGAAGATGAGAAATCATTGGATTACGGCGGCGGTGGCAGGAGTCATTTGGACAATTATGGCGGCGATGAATGTGGCTAATTTGGTGTTGCTTGGGAAGGGTGATGGGGTGTGAGATATTGTTGGGGTTGGGTTTTGTAAGGGGGAGGGGAGCGGGGGGATGGTGGTATTTTGTGGTTGAGTGGGGTGAAGAATGGGTTTATGAAAGTTTGGGGTAGGAAACCAGGGAAAAATGATGGACAGATGATGATAATGTTGAAGAGCAGAAACGCCCAAGAAATTATTGCTACACACTTTTTTCTGGAGTAATGGCATCATCACTACAGTATATAAGTACGCAAATAGTTTGCTATTTATATTTGGCAAGTGTGCTTGAATACGAATATGAAGTTGTTGTAAAACCTTGAGCTTTGAAAGTTTGAAGTGTTGAAGGGGTTTGATTTGTGTTGTGCATTTTGCTATTTTTGGTTCAGCTCGACTTTGGTTTTTTTCTCGATAAAATCGTATTGGATATCTGACCAGATGGGTGGTGCCTATCAGCGCTTGATAAATTTCACGGGATAGCGTCTCGAGGGAGTATTTGCTGAATTTGCAGATAATATCGAAGCGCACTAGTACTGATTCCCCAAATAATTCTTAGAATGAAATTTAGAAACATTCAAAGATAAACTTTGTGAGAAAATAAGAAATGCAGTCTGAAGATCCTCCGCTAGACCGAGATATCTGAGTGCCGACGGACATGTCATTTATTGCAAGTCGATAATTCTTTTCATGAGGGAGATGATGCTACCGTCAATACAAACGGCATCGGCTGATTCTATCTCGGAGTAAGTAGTCGCCAAAGAGACCACCTTGAGCTTGAACGTTTGAGTCTGCTCTTGTGAATAACTTCTATGATTTGCGATTCGAGGTGCGGTGTTTTGCCAAACCCATTCACGAGAATCTCGGATGCCACCTTGCGCACCCATTGGAGTTCTGTAACTTTGCGGCGTCTCCCGCCCTTTCCTCTCGCGTACCTTGTGCACTCTCCTTCTTGCATGTCGAATTCGTAGTCTGGGTCCGCGCCGTGTTCCAGAAGCATTTTCGAAATGTCAAAGACTTCGTCGAGATGGTCGCGATACGCCGGTCTGGAAATCTTGTCAAACGAGACCAAGAACTCCCACCACGTTGCCTCGTCGGGTTTTACTCCCCGCTCCAAGAGTATGCGAACCATGGCGACCGTCACATCAGCCTCGTAGTGCAAGCGTTGTGGGGGCACTTTTCCAAAATTGAGCAATGTGTAATTGAGAAGAGGTTCGGAGCCAAGTAGCCACGTTTCTCTGCGAACCAGATGTTCGAGATACAAGACCAATTGTCCTTCGATGATTAATTTGGCAAACGTCGTCGTGTTGTAATGTGCTAAAATATGATTTTTGAACGCAGCCTGGGGCAACCTATGCAGTTCCTGGGCGCGGGTAGAAAGTGTTTGATGAAGCTCGTCTAATAAAAGTACTTCGGCTACGCCATTGATTCTTTCAGCTTCAAAAAGGTAGTATACAAGTTCTCGTGTCATGGTGGATATTCTTGTCAGTAGCCAACTTCCATGATCTTCCTTCAAAGGGAGCGACTCCAGTTGCCGGAGATAGAGATTACACAAAGTAATTCTTGCATCAAATTTTGATGGCAGCCGGGATTCTAGCACTTCTTGTATATCCTTCGTCATGAGAAAATCTTTGGCTGTGCGGTGTAGGAACCCAACTTTGTTTCGTAGACAACTCGCTTCCTCAGGATCGTTATCTACATATATCTCAAGAAGGTCTTTGCATCGGGCATTGATATATGTCTTCATCTTCTCTGTCACAGTAATAATATCTTGTGAAGTAAATCTCTGAACCTGCGTTTTGTTGTCGATTTTGGAGTGTGGGGCGTCTGTCACTTGAGCCAGAAAATTAAACAATAGAAGAGGTAAAGGGTATGATGATATAACAGCAATCTGAAATATTTGGGCAGTTTGTACGCGATACACATCTTCGATGGTTTCAAGCATCTGTCGAAAATAATCCCCAAGGTCCGCAGGTAAATGCTCGAGTCGGCCACGCAAGGTTGATATGTCATTGTCGTCTGTGAACCCCCTCAGGAGTGAGTTGACAACAAGATAGACCCAGAGAAAAACACCATTTGCTTTTTCCACAATTCCTTGCACGAGTTGCTGATACTGATTGTCTTTTTTCGATAGGCGAACAAATCGAACATCGTCTTCCAACCGATTCTTGACGTAGAGCTCGATGTCTGGCTTGGTATATTCCTGTACAACAAGCTTCGGTATATCACCATCATCGAAGGCTTCAAGAAACACATTCCAAGGTCGACTAGAAACACACAATTTAATAACAGAGGATGTAGCTAGGCTTCGAAGAATTTTGATAAGATCCGTATATTCTCCATATTGTGTGTCGTATTCATCCAGACCATCCACAAAAAAGCAAAAGCGCGTCGACCAAGCATGCTCTTCTGTTACGATACGGTCGAATGTTTCCGAGAGCTCTGGTAAACTCCACAGATCAGATTCGTCCTCATGTTTTCTAACCACAGTCCAGCGAGAGGGACAAACTCTGGAGATGATTTCGGGATATTGATTGATTATCTGATACAATAACGATTGCAAAAGACCTAGCTGTGATTTCTGCATTTTGTTCCCACTACCCCAGAAAAAGTAACTAGCGATGAAGATATTTGAGGTCCCAGTCCAGATCTTCAAATGATCTTTCGTGCGCGCATCGCTGCACAAATACTTCATGAGTGTTGATTTTCCACACCCTGCTTTTCCAGAGATCCAGTATATTCCGTTTCCATTTCGTAGCCAATCTTGGAACTGCGTCTGGTGCCCTGTAACGGTATCGGAATCATCAAATATCCAATCGAAAGTATGGTTGTGTGCACTTTTAATTCTAGCCTCGCGATCTTTAATAGTTTTGAAATGTAAACTTCGCAGCACTTCGTATGAAGTCGTGACCCGTTGTGCTTCGGAGACAAGTTTATCGCATTGCTTTGGAATCGTGTCATTCGTTCCAGCATAGAGTTTTGTTTCCAACGATCTTAATAAGTCTGTTCGTAGCCTCTCGATTTTGTTATCGATATTCATGTCATTTCGTCGGATCTCTTCTAACACATTCGTCACGGCCCCAAAAACGCCTAATTGCTTGTGGCTTATATGAATCATCAGCAGTAGTCTCAAAAGATGTGTGCGATATATGTATGCCCTACCTTAATATTGTAATCATACGAGTATTGATTTGCTTTCGCAATTTATTCAATCTTTTCTCGGTGTCTTGAATCTTCCCTTTTTTTCTTGCGTTGCGAAGTGCCAGCCGGAAACTTTGAAGTACACTTTGGCCGTCTGTAGACTTTACTGTGTCCAAAACAGTAAGTAGTTGGTCTGCTAGCTCTTTGGCCTTGATGGCTAGTTCTCGCAAAGCTAATTCATCTGCCAAGATCGTTGTCGCGGGCACTAAACGCAACTCTATTTCTTCAGTAAGGGTTTGGAGATCTTTAGTAATCAGATCCAGTTCTTGATGGTAGGTTAATGTGCCATTCTCGTAGATCTCACGGCCATCCGCCACCAGCTTGGACCCAAAATCGATAAATTGGACAATGGCACTTGCGAGCGAGATCGAGGTTAGAGGATCAAGCATAATGACGAGTGGAGTGATGAATAATGTTCATGATGTGAAAGTGCTGGAAGACGTGTTTTAGCTGAGATTGCCGTGCATTTGGTAGGGTTGCCTCTACGTAACCGAAAAAAGCGGCGGAAATTGAGTACCCTTTCAAAGGTCTTTTTTAATAGATTATAAATTCATTTCATATTAAATATTGAAATTTGAAAAAAGCATATGAAAATTTGAGTCTTCTTCATGTTGACAATAGATGTTTTTATTATTTAATATTATATCAAGATGAGTTTTAGTAGTTAAAGTTCTTTTGAATGGTGGTGAATTTCCGCCGCTTTTTTCGGTTACGTAGAGGTTCACCTGGTGGTTGCATTCTGAACACCCCCACTACGAACAGGGTCGTTGTTTGATTGGTTAGCTCAGAGGTTATATTGATACATAGGCGCTTAGAAGTGAGCCAAAACAGAAATTTGAATACTACGGAATTTAGTAGTTTATTCTTTATTGGCTCGAGAATATCTTGCTTTGAAAGTTATTCAATTACAAAAGCGAAGCTTTATGATCTTGATAAAAAAGTAATGATAGACTGGGGGGCTGAATGCTTTTCTTCATTACATGAGCAGAAAACAGAACACGACTAGACGGCAGAGTACCAAGTTGGAACGAGGTTTCCGACCAAAAGAATCAACGGCACTGACCCTAACCCTAAGCTTTTGAAATAAGAGATAATATTAACAATTTTTAGTTACTATCGGGAAATTGTATAAATAGTTATGGTTTCCGCTCTTTTAGAAAACTTATTTTAATCTTAATTTTTTTTTAGATATTCTAAAAAATGTTTTTATTTATTCTTTTACTTTTAGTAAATAATTTTATAAACTCATTAAATATCTAGATTTTGTAACTATGCGATTATATAATTATATAATCTATTATATACGATATGTATTATAAACAATCGAAATTTGTTACTATTTGTTCCTAAAAGACGTCATACCGCGTAAGAGTCTCGATGCTATTAGTTCTTTAAGGTGCCTAAGGGTGTGTGATTATTAGCGCTTAATAATTATCATGCGAGCTAACAAAGATGTTTTCGAAGGGTTTTTGATTCAAGCTCATTTGGTGTTGCGATTTTTTTCGTCTTGATAAGGCGCGACCGATTTGGTTAACAACTACAATGGGGGAGGATAATTTGATATTGAGAAATGACATGGGGCCGTGGATTTGAGAGGGAGTCACATGCAGAATTGGCTGAATCACAGGTTTTGAGGCTGCATAGAACCAATAAGCTAGAATATATCTACTAGGTATATCTACCCCGCCTCGAGCCCGCTAGCCCAAAGATTGTGTTGACCATCCGTCAGCACTCTGATCTAACATCATTCAAAACAACTTCAAGATCCGCCAAAGTAGCTTAACGGCCTGCATAAACTTGGGCCGTCCAAAATAGCATTCGGCCTCAAAAAGCACCTTCATCATGGATTCCAAACGCCGATTTCTCAAGGGCCTGTGGAGAGGAACAGGGCAAAAACAAACCAATGATTCGATTGGCAATGGCGAGCCTGCTCCAAAGATAGTATGCAGTTTTCTATCAAAACTATCTTGCTGTACTAATTTGATCTCCAGGAAACCCCCAAACGAACCATCGCTAGGTTGATATCCACAACCCTCGATAGTACACCACAACCTTTGTATCGGTTTTCTCCACGATCCACAACGCCCACCCCAATCAGCCAGACGCCGACCTCAAAATCTGGAGAAACACTTTGGAGTCGGGCGTATACGTCCTTATTGAAGAATAGTCCTGATCTGATGGAAACCTACGAAGCATTACTTCTCGATACTATTCCTACTGCTTTAGACAAACACGAGCAAATGGCGACCATGGTTCAAAAGAAACAGGAAATTCTGGAATCAAAGCAATGGACCATCAAGATCTCTGGAAAATCGCTCAAAGTCAAGGATCAGGTGAAAAGAATTATGGAGGCTTTTAAGAAGGTCAAAGAATTCGGGGCAGCTCTTGCGAGTATTGATCCAATACATGCCGGTTTGCCTTGGGCTGGTGTATCCTTTTTACTTAGTGTAAGTCGGCAGTTTATCAACATTTACGACAGCAAATGTCATCTTCGGCGCTACATTCTAAGTTTGCAGCATGCAGTGACCTGAGCATTCAGGTGTTCATGTTACAAATACGGACACATTTAGACCATTTCAGATATTTATAAGAAGCGAAGTTGCATCTTTCTTACATACTAACCAAGAAGAATTTTCTTTCGGTTTAGTTCGATTGTTTGATTGGTCACTGACGATAGAATTAAGCTTGTTTCAAATGATTTCGAACAAAACGAAGCACTTCTCGAGGGATTAGAAAAGCTATCAGATATCATAGCTCGATACACCGAAGTAGAGAGTGTTTATCTGAACACTGCCGTCGCAGGAGATCTTGATATACAACTTGAGTTGAGGGTCATCAAGCTGTATACTTGTATTCTCAAGTTTCAAGCGACAGCAGCATGCTACCTTTCTTATTCTACGCTTAAAAGGTTAATGCGTAATTTACCCAAGTTGGATGATTGTGAGTTCAATCCACTTTTATAAAAAAAAAAGTGTATCAGTCCTTTGGAGATCTAGCAAAGTCGTTACGGACGTGTGTTTACATTTCAGACCAGATTCAATCTGCTAATTGCTTTAATCACCAGGGAGCAAACTTTTGACCGAAGTCACTTCCGAAGACGAAAATTGCTACAGATGGGTCAGTCTTCAGGATTCGAGAGTATTACGAAAGTTATATGAGCACATAAATCCTCTCGTCTCCATTCAATCCTTAAAAATACTTCCCTCTTACTTCGAGGTTCCCACAGGTCGCAAGATCCCTCATTTCATAGGCCGAGGAGAGGTGTTAGCAAGGATTGACTCTGCGCATTCGAGAAGCTCTTCTTCAAAGGCAGGGATCGTGGTTTTGCGCGGCTTAGGAGGACAAGGTAAGACACAAATCGCGCTTGAATACTGCCATATATCGAGAAACAAATTCAAGGCCGTGTTCTGGGTCGATGCGAGCTCTGAGAGTTCGGCTATCCGGAGTTTTGAAACAATCTGTGCTAAGATCAGGGGGCCTGGAGATGATTATGACAGTAGTGACACGAAATTAGAATTTGTCAAAACTACCATTCGCAAGTGGGACTTCCGGTGGCTGATCATTTTTGACAATTACGATACGCCTGATTCATTTTCTCTTGAAGATTACACACCCCATAGTATCCACGGATCAGTTTTAGTTACTACAAGGCACAAGGATGTTGACGCCTTAGTGGAAGACACCGCCGCAGCCATTGAGTTGTTAGGTCTGCCCGACAAAGAAGCTCTGCAGCTCTTGTATCGACAGAGCGGCACAGAAGAAAATGAAGTCAACAAAATGAATGGACTGAATATTGTGAAGAGGCTTGGATATCATGCGCTAGCTGTTGCTCAAGCTGCGACATATATCAAAAATTTGAAGCTTGATTTTTCAGCCTTTGAATCCCATTACTCTCGACGCCGGGAAGCAATTTTGAAGTACAAGATCCCTATGAACAAATACACGAAGCTTTTGAGCGAATTTGAAAAAGAAACGGCCTTCAATGTATTTACCACCTGGGAGCTGTCCTTTGACGAACTCAAAGCTCAACATAATTCGACAGACCTCGAGCAACTCCTGACAATTCTTGCATTCTTTGATCCTCGTGATATCTCCGAGGAGCTTTTCTCTACATATTTGAGTCGTGGATTTTGGTGGAGTTATAAATATCCAGGTTTTGCCTTCTGCCAGAGAGAAGCGGGCGTGTGGGATAGAGATGCATTTGCCGATGCATTGCAAATTTTAGAAACGCTGTCTCTCATACAAAGCTTTTATGCTTCTACCGATGGCGAATACCATGTATCTCTTCATCCTCTGGTCAAGGATTGGATTAGGCTTCGAACCAAAGAAGCACTCTGTGAGGAGTACACCGTCTTGGTAGCTGAAATGATTGCCGGTCAGGCAAAAGAAGAGCCCTGGGATATGGATCTCATTCATCTCAATGCACATGAAGAGAACATCGGATATATTACTACACCAAATGTCGTCGAAGATTCCTATGATGAGTCCTCGAACAAGCGATCTATGTATGAAGGTTTCTACTTGAGTGAATATTTAATTTGCAGAGACCTTGGTTTGATGAATTATTCTGAGAAAGCAAAAGCCATAGGTGGACGCTTGTTTGAGCGACAAAAGAAATTTCACTGGGAAGACACTTGGCAGAGTTCATTCACTGTCAAGGAGAAAATACAAGATTTGTTGAGCGAAATAGACATGAAAGAAGAAGCATTGTCAATCTGTGAACAGCTTTACACACTACACTTGAGAATTCATGGAGAAGGAGATAAGCGAACTGTTCATAGTATAGAGTTACTTAGTCGAAGACTCAAAGAATTTGGCGAGCTTGTAAGTTACTGCTTTTTATGTTAATCTTTAGCTAAATGCGGCGTATGTGGCAGCAGCGCCAGAATGAGATTCTCAAATCCTATGCTTCAATTTTCTCCAGGTATCAGAATCTTTTTTTCTCTAAACCGAGATGAAAACCGGCTGAATATATCTAATCATAGGAAAGAGCCTTGAGGCTACAGCGTAAAGTTCTTGAGTACAACAAAGAGAATAGAAGCGATGACGATCCCATACTCTTAAAATCTATGTCTGACCTGGCGAACATACTCATGGAACTCGGCATCACTGATGAAGCAGAACAGTTGTATAGGAAGGTGATTGACCTGCAGGTGAAACTCTCAGGAGAAGCCCATGCTACGACTTTGGAAAGCAAGATTAAGTTAGCAGAACTTCTGGAAAAAACGACCCAGACAGAAGAAGCAAATAGGGTGTGCACAGAAATCTTAAGCTTCATGAATAGCCGGGCCATTCTCGACTGCTACGTCGTCAGTTTATTGTTCAACCTGGAACCCATACTTCAAAATCTGCATAGATGTGAAGATCGCCTGGCTTTAAGTCATCATGTATTGAAGCTGGTAGAGCAATCACCTGGACAATATTTTTCCGATCTCCTTGGTGCAATGTTTTTGGTTGCCAGGGCTTTTCAGGACTTGATTAAATTCGATGAGGCTGAACAAGTTTTCAAAAAACTTTACCTCATGTGTACAGAGAGTCTGAAGGGCGATAATATTCTTTTACTTAATGCACAGATAAGTTATGCCAAGATGTTGAGGTGTCTTGGGAAAAGGGAGAAAGCAGAGGAACTGGCCAGAGATGTACTGCAAAGGTTGAAAGAATCGCATGGCGAGGAAAGTATAAAATTTCGGAAGGCGAACAAGGCCCCGAGCTTGAGCTGGTTGCACCGAACTTGGAAAAGTTTACAAGACTTGGATGCTTATTATGAGCAGGCTCTTGGGGGCCGTGATGATGTTACGGATGAGGAGAGGTATGCGGCGTGGAGAGCCTGGAAGGTGAAGGTTGGCGAAGAAGTGGTGAATAGATTGAGTATGGAGATTAATAAGACTAATAGTCGGCTCTCATAAACGGCCGACTAGTTCCTAGTCGGGGAAAGCGAATGTCCCCGGAAAGCGAATGTCCCCGTGAGATTTTGGGTACGAAATACACCAAAATCATTCAATTTTATTAGAAATCTAGTTTTATTTTTAGTACACAACCTTCAATTTTTGAATAATTTTTGAACTTTTTATATGATTGTATTCAATAAGATTATAGCTTTCTAATGATATTAGATTTTTTTGAATTGCTTCAAAATTCATAGTATTATTCATAAAATTGAAATATTTTTCAGTAAAAATCACAAAATCTATACCCAAAATCTCACGGGGACATTCGCTTTCCGGGGACATTCGCTTTCCGGGGACATTCGCTTTCCCCGACTAGAAACTAGTCGGCCGTTTATGAGAGCCGACTATTAGTGAGGGGTTAGGTCATGGGTCAGAATCGAAAGAGGAAGATGGAGACGAAGAGGAGAGGTATGCGGCGTGAAGAGCCTGGAGGGTGAAGCGCTTGGGTGAGGAGTGAGTGAGAAGATTTAATAAGAGAAATGCTGGGACTATTGAGAGGTCGGGACACGGATCAAAATCGAAATCGGTGGAGTAAAGATGAGATAAGGTACGTGCTAGGCAAGATTTGTAATGTTCTTCAAAGAGAATAGAAGGAGGCGAAGGGACACCGACTATAAAGGATGTGGATGCCTAAGGCATCTATGCAAGTACGCTACGAATTCATTATAACTACCTAGGTAGGTATTATAGTATAATTTGAGTCAACCTATTCACTCGTTGTATACTAATAAAATAATTGATTTATTTGCTTGGCGTAGCCCTGCGTTATATTATATTATCCCACCTTATCGGCCATTGCTTTTCTAGCAATTACTAATCTATTCCTTTTATACGATAAATCAAGGGCTGAGAAACCCCTAGTTTCTCCACTAATCACAGCCAAGAAAGAATAAATAAATATAGGGCCATCACCCTATCTTAATTTTCAAAACTAATAGCCTTACGATATATTTGACTTCATAACCCGTTTAATATATACAGCTCTAATATACAAGTCATAGAGATTTATTCTATATATCAGGTTATCGATACTAAAAAAGTTCCCGGCTTTTTCTCTCGCTATCCCGCTACTATAAGTGTTAGTACTACGGATGTTAAAAGTACTTTATCGGCGATTGCTCAAGAGGCTTCCCAGTCTAACTCTCGAGAGAGACGTCGCGCGCTAATTCGATACTCTAATGCCTATGGAGATTCATTTTCGATATATTATTGCTCTACCGAAGTCGAAAGACTGGTTCTGCTTGCTAGTATAATCGAGGTCATGTGAATACATGATAGTACGTTACACCTAATCATGAATAAACATAGATGAGAAAAATCCTAATATTTGATAAGATGTAATAGAAGAACTAGATCATAGCGTAGTAAGCTGGGATTATATATTGAGTAATAAGGTCGTTCACTAAAGAATGCGTAGGCATATAGAGAACATAATATACTTATCGAAGTACTGAGAATCGACGTATAGCCTTCAGATTTCACTTTAAAGAACATACGACAAAGCGCACTAGCGACTGTATTGCGTAAAGCAATCGACTTAGATTCAGAGAAGGCGCCTAGAATAATCGAAACTCTATAGGATTATCTTATGACTTTTGATAGTCGAGACGACGACTTTGATCGAATGGAGGAGTATATGCCTTATAGAGTTGCAAACTGCGGCTATTAGCAAGTACTTGAAAAACTCGATCTTTACAAGAATATCTTCTAATACTACACGCTGCCGCAGGATATTATCTTACTTCATTCGTTGGGGAATGGGAATTACGCTTAGTCATGCTGATTATAAATCAATACAGCAATATGACTTTACGATGGGAAACATACTTGACTTAACAAATGACTATTTTAGCTGGAATACTAAGAAAAATCAGACTACAGATCGAATCAGGAACGGAGTGAGAGTACTAATCAAACAGTATAAAATATCACCTGATGCTGCAAAATCATTACTTCTCGGATTGATAGTTGAGGAAGAAAGCAAAGCTGTCAGACTCAAGAAAGAGCGCTTGAAGCGACTAGTTTTACGCGAGTTATCTATATACTTTAAAGCTATTAAGCTCTATATTGGTAGAAGTTGCTTTTGACATGCGACGGCGCCTCGTTATCGCGTTTTTGAATGAGGATACAAATGTTTTGGCGAAATTGGCTTGCTCAGGCTGGGTGGATATTGACGATACCAGGTTATATCTTTTTCCGTTTTGATATAGTCGAGCTGTAGACTTTTAATCCTGAGCAAGTGCTTAGCGATACAATTACGGACCAGAATCATTTTACTGTGGTTTTCCCTTGACGTAGACTAGTCTCTACTTTGCGTTACAGTTATCGATCACGCTCTTAAGGCCTCAATCGATCTTGCTCGTTTACGACTTAGGCTCGTATAGATATGTTTAAATGTTAACAAGGTTATAAAGAAACTTGTAAAAACGATAGAAGATCTGATTGCTCCTGCTAAGATCGAATAATAATCCTCAATCTATAACATTATATATATACTATAAAGAGCTTATTATTTCAAAAAAAAAAATTCAACGCCTTGCTATTGAAAATCAATCATAGGTTAGGTTAACAAGACCTCTTAAGTATTATTTAAGCTATTATCATTCTCTCTCTAGCGTCTATAGACAAAAAGCAGAAGATAGTGAATAAGCGTTTTAATTATGTGATTAAGCCTAAGTAGAAAATCTGAAAAGAAGACTATAATCCTCGCTAGATGTAAATTAAAGCACCCTTATCCTGAACACCCTAATTAAGCGATTTTCCGGACTATTGAAATCACCGATTGATTATTAAATAACTACTCAGTTTGAACACAATCTAAAGAGTAATCAAACCGATTGGTTTCTTCTTTATTACCCTCTTTGTCTCTAGCTTCTTCAACTTCTCTAATCTTTACAATAAATACAAACTTAGAATTAGAACTTCATTTTCTGCTTGCTAGGCCTAAATTTCTCTGATTGTATCTATAAACACTATATTTTAAACTCTTAGTCTTCTAGAAAAGTCTTTAGATTGAAAGATTGAAGTTCTTGAGTAAATATATATAAACTCGTTTGACAATTTTGAGACATAGAGTATAAAAGTGGATTTCTGATGCTTTGTTTAATTTCTATATAGGATAAGAGGTAAGAAATAACCTATTTCATCTAAGACCCTTGAGAGTGGTATGTAGCAGCAGTGAGAAGGCTATCTTTCTCGAATCAGACTCTAGCGACCAGTGTAATAGGTTGAAGGATAATTTGTGTGAGATATCTGCTACAATATAACTTCCAAATATAATTGATTGGTTAGGATAGACACATACTCACCTGGCCCTGTCAGTCCAATCATTTGACTAAGAACTATTAAGAATTAGTTATTCTTAAAACCGTATACATGAAAAAATCAATTGTAGTGAGTAATGAGGTAGCTGACGATGCAAACGGCTGCTTATTCTCAAGGGCGCTCTTCCTCAACTGGGTTTCTTTCAATAGTCACACTATATATATATATCTGGCCGAAAAAAGTGAACATCAAAGGTTTGGAGACTGCCCTCAATAGAAAAAAATGACTTCTGTCTACTGGAAATATCTATAGTTGCGTCCCCTAATTCTAACTCATCCAAGTTGAGGTGGAGCTTGAAGTGTAGCAGCCCTGGTAGAATTACATGAACAGACTTCCTCATCCATACGGACCATACCACAGTCCCCACCACGGCGACCAGTGAGTGAATGAACTAGCGGGACACTTTCTAACTTTCGAAACTCGCAAACTATTCGTTGTTTGACCGCTTGATATTAGAATTTATCTTTCTATTGTTCAATTGGTAAGAAACCATTACGTGAAATTTCAAAGTATTTTGACATGTAAACAATAAAGTTTATTCTTGTTTAAAGAAAGCAATTTGACTAAAGGAAGCAAACAGTAAATTTTTGGCAGAGGGTGCCAGATTGACACCTCCTCGATTCACCAGGTATTGGGTTGCGTCAATTGTAAAGCCATAGACTGTAATGCCAGTACAATTGGTGTCAATGTTAAATAAAACCTCGGCGCATGTTGAAGAAGTTGTACAGTCTGAAGGAATTAGTAAGTAAAGAGTTGGTCATAGGGACTTAAGTGTCCTTGGTGATCGAGAAAGGGACAGGATGAAAAGTGTTACGTACCACTGCTCCAATTGTGAAAATATGTAAAATAAGAAGATCCATACACTACAATGTCGTTTGAGTTGGTCATGATTTGCGCCCAAGCGACTTGCCGAGAAGCACCATTGGTGCCGTTAAAAGGCCCAGAAAAAAAAGGGTCACTCAATTGCTTCTTATAGGGGTAAGGATAAGAGGCAACTGGATTTGGCTGGTAGTACGGCTCTTCTGACTGTGCCATTGACATGAAGATATTCTTGGTGTTGGCGAAGTTATACTGGTACTTGGAGTGGTGCTCCGAGGGTGTGTTGATGAGCCAGTTGTTCCCAGCCACACTCTCGACCAGTATGCCTCTTCCAGTAAAGATCTGAATCTGGGTGAGATTGCGATCGTCGATGTCGTGGTCTGCAGCCCAGTGCCAGCAGTTTTCCAGGTACGCTCCAGTAGCGCTCTTGGTAATGTGCATCGACATGAATGCGGCCACGCAGTTGGCATCAACGGGCGGCTTCTTCACTCCTGGCGTCGTGGGGCACTGTGTAACCTGCAGCTCTGAGCCTTCCCAGCCACCGACGCGAGTATGTACGTCCCAGTAGCCACCGACTCCTGAAGTGGAAGAGGCGAGATTGTGCTGGATGAGAATTGCACCAGCAGTGCCGCCTTGGGTACCTAGGACAAAGTCGACAAGTTCAGTTGCTCCGCGCTCACCGGGTTGGCCAACTTGAAGCAGAGGCTGTGGGTGATCAAGAAACTTGAAGTATTCCCCGGCAGCGAAGATGTTTGGGAAGGCCTCGCCAACAATCTTCGTGTTACCAGGGATGTAAAGTGTTTTCGTAACCTTGTAGCTTCCGTGGTCGAGAAAGAGAACTTTCGACTGTGCAACAGAGGCGAAAATAGCTGCTTGAAGAGCCGCTGTATCATCCGTTAGTCCATCCCCCCTTGCACCAGCAGACCGAGCGCTGATGAATGATTTGACGGCAAGGCTTTCATATCCAGGTTTGGCCTGGGAGTACCATTTCTGAGATCCAGGCTGGAGGAGCCCACTTGGTCGCTTCATTGGACTTAACGATCCTGAAAAGTTGGAGGCGATGTTATCCTGTAGCTTGTTACCTTGTCCCCATCCCAAGATCGTGCCAGTCCCGCCTGCGAGCACTGCGCCTTTACCGACCAGTCGTACTAGGATGGTCACATTCTGATACTCTACGTTCTCGAGAATTAAACTTCCCGCAGCTGACGACTGGAAGAGAGGATCCCCACGGTCGGAAGCAATGCCGATCTGAACATTCTTGAGCGAGCTGTCAATCAAAGAGACTGCTCCGGTGGCAATGAACGTTTGAATCGCTGTGGAGCAACCATTGAAGGCAACTCCCTGAGCCGTAACCGTGGTAGTAGTCTGGAGATTGAGTCCGGTGACACAGCCGTTGAAGGTGACATTGCGAAGATTCGCTTGGCCACTAGGGATTTTAAATCCATCATGACCGCCATTGAAGACGAGGTCGCTGTAAAACACCTCCCCTCCTGCACTTGTGAGTTAGCAGAGACACCGCAGATTCCAAGATTGAGAAAGCACAAAGTGAAGCTCACCACCTCCCATCAACCCGATGTCCTGGACTCCCTCAACGGTAGGCATGTTGACGACTATGTTATGAAGACTAGTTGCTTGTGCTGATGGCCAGTTGATCCCCGTAACGTTGACACTTGGGGGTACCAAGGTTGTATCAATGACAAGATTCCGGAGCTGTCTGAAAAATATGTTTGCGGCCATCGCAGCAGATGATCTGTACTACATTAACTCATGCGCGCAAGTTCTTCGTGAAAATGAAAACTGACGGGTTACCATCAATCAATCCTATTGCCCCCGGTGCATTTTGGAAAGCGGGGAGTGCCTTGATGACTGGTAAACAGTTGGGGTTTCCATGTAGAGAGACCCCATAGTTCTGAATAATAGTAGAGTTTACCATGTAAGTGCCCGCTGGGAAGTATACTAATGCCTGGGCTTTCTTTGAATTGTCAGCGGGAACGTGTAACATCTTAGAACCAGAGGTACGAGGTCCCAGGAGAAGGCTAACAGCCTACAGCAAGTAACAACTTACAGTGGTCGACAAACATGAGTCAGGGGCACAAGTATTACCGCTGCTAATGGCAGCATTGATGGCGGCTGTATCATCTGTAGAGCCGTCTCCTTTGGCACCAAAGTCCTTGACATTGCGAAAGACGTGAAATTCACGGGGGTTTGGATTGAAGGCTGCAATGCCTTGGTGTTTGATATCCTCAAGCCAGTAGCTACAAGAGGGAGAGTGAGAGTAGGGGGAAGCATCCGAATCTCCCTGACCGCCGCTTGACCCGGCTCTCACAGAGTCCAGGAACAAAAGGCAGCCAAGGAGCTTCAAGAAGTACAATTTGAATACCATTGTAGAGGGAGTGAGTGGGATGATAGATGTTGGCATTGAAATCTTTGATAGAAAGCAGAAATCTTCTTATTCTCTCCTATATAGTGCTGGTAATGGTATTATCTCTAGGGCAAGACGACTTGACGGAGTTCCCATGTCCCTGTTTCTTTGTTTGTCAAGTCTCCACGACTACTTCGCTTGAAATTATCATGGATTACACAGCTTTTCGCTCCAAATACCAGAGTTAAAAACCATCCGAACTGCTAAACTCTGACGTAGATTACTCTTCACGCTAAATAAAACGCTGCATCGCCACTTTTGGTGGGGCTTTTGAAGGGCTGTCACAAGTAATACTCGCTGAGTTCTTGTCAAGGCCTTTTGGTCTACCGTTAGTTACTTTGAAAATATGCTTGTGCTGAGATCGTTAACAGGGACTGTAGAAATTGAGAGTAGCAATACTAGGATAATCCCACTTTTAGGAGACACTAAGTCATATTCAGGAGAGGGGGAGATGCATCATGCTACCCGCTATACGTGGACAGCTTTAGAGTTGCCCCACTTATAAGTCAGGTAGCACATTCTCGTATAAAGACTGATTACGGCATCAGCTTTCTCAAAGCGAATACGGAACTATACGAAAGCTGGGAGGGAACCTAGACATAAGTTGTCACGGTCAAACTGGCGTGGGGCTCTGAGCGGCACGTGGTATTGGACCACTCCAGGCCGACAGCAGCCCGCGCACAATTATAAAATGTAGAATTATCTAATTAATTTATTGCTATTATCTACTTTTACAATTTTATATAGAGATCTAAAGAATTGAGGATTTTTATAAAAGATAAATCAAAATAATGAGAATTCTCAAAATTCTGACGTTTTGATTGGCTAAGGAGACTCCTTTTAAGCAATGGCGCTCGTAGCTAGCACCTTGGGAGATAGAAAGCTCATTTCTATAAGATAGTTGAAATCTTACTCATTCGTTGATACATTCGATACTAATAAAGCAAGTATCATAGAGTTTTAATTCTTTAGTTAAAAGATAGCTCAGAAACTAGTGCGTCGCCTAGTGGAAATATCTGCTATCACTTTAACTTCCTGCTTTCGCTGTTGTCCAATTCAGAACCATTTTCCATCGGTTTTTCCCCACTAACTACTACATACTTGATACTATTCCGGCATTTCCACCCCTCTACCCCTGCCATAGTGTTTACAAAATGTTTCTGGAGACCGAAAGCTAAGACCAATAGATATGGGATATATGCCAACACGAAGAAGAACCGAACCATCGGTTTCACATTTATAGTGATATCTTCGGTCACGACATTGGTAAAGCCAGCATCAGCAAATATTGAGCTAATCGATCCATATGTGAATCGATCGAACGCGGGCATCGCAGAATGTTTGTTGATTGTGCTCCACGAATCCACCCTTGCTTTCGGCTCCGACTTCATGTCACTATGCTCATATTCGAAAAGTGCCACGCGACCACCTGGCTTCAACACGCGATAAAATTCACGAGCGACTGTTTCTGGAGAGGTGCTATGAACAAATGTTTCCATAGTATACACACCTTCCAACGAGTTGCTTGCAATTCCGTCAAGGTGATGGTAGTCCATTTTTCCAACCGTAACTCTTGCCTTCATCCCTTGTTTCTCAATGTTCCGCCTAGCTTTCTCGAGGTGATGGTCTATGACGTCGATCCCCTGGATCTCGAGCGAGTGAACTTTTGCGAGGCGCAAAGCAACATGGCCTACGCCACATCCTGCATCCAATACTCGCGAACCAGAAGGAAGGCTCAAAGTCTTCGCGAGGTAATCCTCCATTCTGTGTAGCGCGGCTCCAATTGGGAAAGGATTGTATTTGTCGCGTTCATAATAGCCAAAGTGCCTGGTACCACCGAGAACAATTTGATAGCCAAGACGAGATTCAATTGTGTGGTAATAATCTTGCAGAGACTTGTTTTCGTTTATGATGGGAGCCATTTTGTCTGGGTTATCTGTCATGGCGGACGATCCCTTGAGGATAGAGAGCTTGATAAGCAAGAAATGGCTCGATAAGGTTGATGTGTTGACAAAGAAGATAAATTGACTGCGAATGATTTATTAGTGAGGTAAGTTTGCCAACGACAATGAATGAGCTGACATGGAGTAATCTTATGTAGGCAGTGAAATGTGACAACCATGTACTTCAGGAACGTGTTGTGATACCATTTTCCGTGCGACACGGTGCCTGAGATATTAGTCTATACAGGCGCTTACGGTCATGGTAAAAATGAACCTGTTTGGTTCCTAGGCTTTTTGAGTCAATCTTCATGAGACTCGCTCTAACGGAATTGGTAAATGGCTTTTTGTGATGATAAACTGGAAACCCTTGATTCTCTACTGAACAGATTTCTGGTGGTTTCGTTATCTAATAATCAATTAATGATTGTGGCTCGGAGTTTATTCGGCTCAATCCTGGTATGTAAATGTACCAAACATGTGATCGTGATCTACACCTCCTCGACCTATACAGTAACCTCTTCTCTCACTTCATAAGAATAACAACAGAACAACATTAATATCAAGGCTTTCCATTTTCAATGGTTTCATAGTATCTACATTTATTCTCAGAAAAGAGATTACTGTTTACTCCGAAAAGTAGTTCCTTTTCCATGTCTAAGGAATTACCAGTCCCAACATCCCCTCCTCCATCTACCCATCCGAGCCATCCAGGAAGCGAGCTAGGAGCGCTTATGGCCTGCCAATAGGATTTATCCTACTAGTACCGTCAATAGAGCTATATAATGCGCTAATGCCGGTTAAGATATCGGACTGGTGTTGTCGGTCCATAGATCAAACGGGATAATATCCGTACCCGGCTGACTTTCTGCAGGATGACATCCAACTGTTGGAGATATAAATATCGCACTATGCTGTTACAATATCTCTTTTGCTATTCTTGAAACCCCCAAACGTTGCGTATATTCTACGATTCTATAGGGTAATTTACGTGTCCTGTTGACGAATAGAGTCAATATTCTGCAGGACATTAGATTAGCCCCAGCACTGGCTTTTGGCGCTGAAAACATGCGAAGAACGCCACAGTCTTGGATTGTCAAACATTTAAATCCGAGAACAACCACACGAATGCTATGTGGCAGTATCATAAGCAGGGGGGAGGGGGGGGGGGCAAGGAAGAGTTGGTTTTTTGGAGTCTTCGGCTCATTGATTATTACCCAATGCTCGGCCATGATCTCTTATACGAAACGGGCGCTGACATGTCTCTAGTCAAACTTCGGTCTGAACATCTGCTTGAATGGAGTCTTTTGGGGCAAATAGTAACAAAATCCAAGTTTTTAGTTCAGATTGCCAGTTTTAGCCGTAAATCGTAGTATTTCACTACAGATCATTACTTTCTTATTATATATCGCATAATCGCACAATCATACAGTCACTCTTAAAACTAGTTGTTTGATTAGTCTGTAGAGTTATTCGAATGAATGATTATAAAATAACTAGCTTTATGCTACTCGATATAATATACGACCTGCACTGAAATACTGCGATGTACATCTGAAACTAGCAATCTACACCTAAGACTAGCATCCTACACCTAACACTAGCAATCTACACCTAAGACTGGCAGTTTACAGCTAAAACTAAAGGATTGAATTTTGTCACTTTTGTCGCAAAGATACACCATAGCTTATCCTTAATGTGACCCTATGCTTATGAACAGTGTAACGCAACGGCCTTTCATAACCAATGAATATATCTCCTGAAGAGTCTGTTGCCCGTCATAGATATCTGGAGTAAGTAGGGGGTTCTTTTATCATGGTAGGCGATGGGATTATATCCTTCTTTACTGGCATAATTTGAAAAATTTCGTCGTTCGAGAAATATCGTTTCATTCAAAATTCAATTATTGTACTGCTATGTTATTTTCAAGACTTCACATGCATGCGATTTCCTTCATACTATTGAATCTATCCAGTGCCTATACTTGTCTACCCATAGCATCATTTGCCGACAATATGACCTCCACAATTGGGAAGGAAACGACAACTAATGCTACAGCTATAGATTCGAATAACACCAGAAGCACGGTGAACTCAGGATGGACTCAAAGCCCAGATGGACGAGGCAGCTTTGACATACTCTGGAACTGTGCCTCTGTTATGATATTGTGCTCCTGGTCGATACTCTGTTTAAATCTTCCTGCGCCAGGCGAAACCATCTTTGTGAGTATCTGCCGGCGATTGTGGCTTACGGCTCTCGGTTTTCTTGGCCCCGAATTCATCCTGCAAGCAGCAATTGGGCAATGGGCAGCAGCTAGACAGTCAGTAAAGGAGTTTAGAGGGGCTGGGATTGAGGGGTGGGAAATGATACATGCCTTCTTTGCAAATGCTGGAGGGTTTGTACTCAAGACTGCAGATCACCCGGATTATTTCGTTCCTTTGAACGCAAAGCAATTGCTACACCTTGTTAAAAGCGAATACGTTCTCTTGGATTCGACTGAGAACATAAAAAAAACTGTCAAGGATCGGAATAAGACAGATGGTGTTCTTCGTGCCATCACGATCCTCCAAACGACCTGGTTCATGGTGAACTTTCTTACCCGCTTGATAGAACATCTACCCGTTACTGGATTGGAGATTACAACAGTAGCATTTATATTGTGCGCCTTGGGTACTTCTGTGTGTTGGTGGTATAAGCCTGCAGACGTAACTACCCCGATAATCATCTCATCTCAATTCACCATCGCCGAGATCCAAAATGGTGCCGCAGTGACCAGACATGACCACTCACCTCTTGACTGTATTGTCCCACGTCAAGAATGGCCCTGGTCACGCTTCTGGCAACATTGGATCAACATCCTCCGGTGGATGAGAATCGAGAAAGTCCTCTTTGTCGAGTACGCGAACGAAGCCGGCGACGGCACTTATATCACGAGAATTGAGAATACATATTGGTACGAACTAAATGGGGGTTATATGTCGACTTTCGCATTAATGTCTATCAGCTATCCTGTCATTTTCTTGTCATCCTGGAACGAGACATTCCCAACACATGTCGAACAATTGCTTTGGCGCATCTCATGTGTTGCACTTGCAGCTACTATTGTTATGTATTTTGTGGTAGTGGTGTTATGGTGTTCCGAATCAGAAGAAGAACGAAAAGTCCGGCGAGAGATCTGGGAACAGAAGGCTGCAAGAAGACAAAGAGTCTCTTCTGAAAAGCTAAGTCGGTTACCCTACTTTCGGGCCAACAGGGTTTTGGGCCACCCTTTTACACCAAAAATCACTTTTTAGGCCTATTAATATCTTTATCAATATATAATATAATTCAATGAAAATTTGTATATATATAATTTAGATCGATTTAAGCTTATTCTGAAATTTTTAGATTTTTAGGATTTTTCTGTATTGAGAGCTAAAGCTTCAAAATATCGATTTTCAAATTTGTATGGGAATCACATACAAATTTAGAATTTTTATAAAACCTTTAATAACTTTTTAACAACAATTATTAAAAGAAAACTATATATATTTCTGAGATATTTGAGCTTGAATCTATATAGAAATTCAAAAAAAAATTCAAAAAAATTAACAGATATAGAGATATAGTATACAGTGAGTTTAGAATAATATAAATAATCCCTGTCATTTTGAGGGTACCCCTTTAAATATTTATTTATGAGAATTTTTTTATTTTTTCTGAATCTATTATATGAAATATATTATAAAGTGATAGTGAAATTTTACAATATATTTTTAACAATTTTTATTCGAAAGTTATTAAAGATTTTATAAAAGTTTCAAATTTGTATGTGATTCCCATACAAATTTAAAAATCGATATTTTGAAGCTCTAAATCTCAATACAGAAAAATCCTAAAAATCTGAAAATTTCAGAATAAGCTTAAATCGATCTAAATTATATATATACAAATTTTCATGAAATTCTATCCATAAATGAGAGAGTTAAAATTTCCATTTTTGGTGTAAAAAGTGGCCCAAAAGGGGGGTGGCCAGAAAGTGGGGTATCCGACTTACATGGCGCATCTCGATTTAATCAACTCTTACACAAGACCACAAGTCTCCAGTGGTGGTATGATTCCAAAGCCAAAATAATCAACAATTCCAAAACGAATGATCCTTTACTCGACGTCAACCCGAAAGCCCAAGTGAGCATGTACGTTTGCGCCTTTATATATTGTTGTGCCAGGACATATCTTTACATAGCGGATCTGACGCAGTTGAGATCGATGCCCAAAGGCGCCTATGAAACTGTACATTGGCCAAGTTGGTTCCCTCATATTGAATGAGTGAATTCCCTACAACCATGCAATTGCATGTTACGAATCTGAGGATGCTATACGTATCCGTAACTACGTCGATCGCTGGCGATCCGGATTATATGCCTCAGCATTTTATTTCCGTCTTTCATGAAGCTTTTTACAGTCAGTCAACTTGGTGATTCCAAAATTTTGCGATGTCGAATATATACTTCATGAACAGAAGAGGGCGGGGCTGTGAGGAATAAAAAGTACCTGGATGAATTTTGGATGTTGAATACATAATTCCGTAATACATGGTGTCAAGAAAATGAGTCTTATGCGGATGTGAGTGCAATTTTTGAAAGGTAATTGTATTATCGGATGAAAATAATGCTGTATCAATCCGGCAACAACAAACCAAGAAATTCAAAACCTTCAGATGCAAGGTATCTAAAATAGGAATGAAATTCCTAGAGTAGAATGGAATGAAGCATTTCCATGAAAGCTGGCTTGGTAGGCTTGAAAGAATGATGTTGTGGATACTATCTATCTAGGAGCATAGAATGTATGGGTTGCGATTTTCTAGTCTCCTTCAGTCTGATATGGATGATAAACTAGTACTAGGTAGTATCTAATTTGTTTATGTGACGAGAGATGATGAGATAAACAGAGTATCATATCATATCTAAAGACACCAATACTTTTCAGACTTCAGATTTTCAACCTCTTTTAACAAAAAGGAAATTTCGAGAAATCTTAACATGTGAGATTACCCAATTTTTTGGTAAGTCTTCTCTAGAAACCTTGAAGTTCTTGTGATAGTGAATTCAAAATAAAGTTTAAGTCAAAAACTTCACTTAGTAAAAAGGGAGTGATTAAGACTAAATATACTAACTACACGCATAAATGTTATAGAATAGCCCCTTGAATGTATACATCTACACTATATATTAACCGAGACTGATTTAATTCTATCGTCAAGATTATTTATTCTATCAATTCCAGGTTGAGATTGTAATAATTATTTAATATTTTAATGCTTAAATAAATTAAATATCAAGAAGAAACTAACTTTTTAATTCAATTTAATAGGCGGAAAAAAAGTATTTGAATAATAAATCGTAGTAGCTTGAATCGATAAGCTGTATTTATATGATTACATATCATCATCTGATTTATTAAGCTGTTACTCTTTAATTGTTGTATTAAAGTAGATATAACCAATTCGATATCGTCTAATGTATTTTTGCATCAAAAATTTAACGGTTTCAAAAGTCTTGACTCAAGTCGTTGCTGCAATGAAATTGAGGATAGACGTCTAAATATCCAACCCCAAACTAGAGAAATTGGAACTCTCGTCTGATATGCGTAACAACAAGCCTTTTGATTGTCCCAGTCAATTAAAAAACTATCAAACCAATATCATCCGAAGTAATCAACAATGTTGCAAAATGAAGATTTCCCAAAAATTTGACATGATCAATTCAAAAATCACGAGGCTGCACAGCCTTGAGGTACGATGAAGACACAAATCTCTCGAGGAAACTGACTTTGTATTAAAACAGCGGCGAGGCTAGAGCCTCGCATGCTTGAAAATAACTAATTAAAAGGCAGAAATCCATTACGTTTTATAAATCTGACCTATCGTGGGCCAGAGTTCTACTTTAAAAGCAATTTAATAATCAAATCCACCGATGCGTACCAAGATAATAGACCGCACCCCCATCATAGACCAATTATTCCTCCCTGCCCCTAACTCCCGAACCATCCAATCAATTACATCCATTTCCAACCGTCGCCATAGCCGACCAGATAAGCAACCAAATCAATAGCCCCAAGAAAGCAGCTTGCGCGGCATATACCCACCACTTGTAGGGATGAATCCGCGACGGTTCCTCCCTCTTCTCCCGAAGGATTGTCGCGAAGCATAGGATCGAAACTAAGGTAAAAGCAATGAAGAAGGCAGTGATTACTATACAGGCCTGCCAGGCACTGCAACCCGGACCTCGCTTCTCATGCTGATGAGATCCGACAGCACGACGTTTTAGGAATCCCAGAGATCTGAATAGACCGTTAGGTCTGTTGCGGATTGCGGGAGAAGAGGTTGAAGTTGGGGATATAGTTGGAGCAGATGATGTAGCAGAGGCTATAACGCCAGCAGTGCAGGGAGTTAAGACATCCTGGGAAGAAAGATGGCAGAGACCAGTAGCGAGAGTCGTGGATAGAGTTGAGATCGTTGTAATGGCAGTGGTTGAAAATATCTCTGTTGTCAAGATCGTAGACGCTAGGAAAGCCGTGGTTGCAACGGCAGTGGTTGTAGAGAGTTCAGTTGACAAGATTGTAGAGGTGAGAGAAGCCGTAGAAGTGACGTTAAGGGTGACTACAGCGGTGCTTGTGCTCTGAGGCAGAATAGTAGTAGCGACGACGTTGGTATAAGAGACGTATACGATGGAAGTAGAGTATACGGTTGATTTTGCCCGTTCCAGGTAGACAAATCCGCTACCACCAGCGGATACAGAGGGATAGGGGAGAGTCTCGACCATGGAGGATAGGTCTGAATCGAACGAGCCAGCAGTCGCTTGGGCGCTGATAAGAGCGCCAGTGGAGGCAGCAGAGGAGAGAACAACATCTAGATAAAGGTCAACGACCATGGTTCAAAGCTAAAAAGCTGGATATAGGAGAGGGAAGCTTACCTTGAGCAAGAGTCAAGACGAACACTAAGAACAAGAGCAAAAGCTTATAGACATCCATCTTGATGTTGCTTTGGAAGCTTAATTAGTATGGTAGTCTAAGATATGAGATCTCACTGGGAGGACAATAAGATATACTGCTGGGAAAATTCTGCTCTGGAAGGAAAGGAAAGAAAGATACTTACAAGACGAAAGATAAGCCAGAATTGGGTTACAGAGCTTAAAGAGTGTTTCGAAGAACTCTGAGTGTGAATCAGAGGTATCGATAACGTTGATATATGGTCTAGAACAACGCGCAAATTGATTTGAAAGAACGATTTTCGTTATGGGAGTCTATGAGGTCGGGGAGAGGAGTGTGAATTGGACTGTACGTATTGTACGTAATTCGAAATCTTAAAGAAGCTTTTACGTAACGACTCAGAGGTGTGAATTGAGCTTGTAGGTATTTATCCCAGGCTATAGGAAGTTGCAGTAATGTAAGAGGACACTTTGAATTGATGGTATTAAAATATCTTGGTAGCAAGAAGTCTTCTGAATTGGTGCGCGTTGTGGTTGTCGAAGATTAAAAACTTTGTCAGGAAATGAATGAGAACGAAGTTTTAAATAGAGAAGACCTTGGAATCACTTACAGCTTATCATTTTTTCTCTCTCAGTGAATAAGCGAGCGTATCAGAGAGACATTCCGACCAAAGCTCTCAGCAAATTGAATACCTTTCAATTCGCACTACAGTGAATGACACGATCGCTGAGAACGATCGCCGACATACCGATAATTATCAAGGATACATGTCGATCATGGTGAATATAATGAGCCGGGGAAAAAAGCAATAGTCTGATAATAGATACGATCAATCCGTTCGAGGCTCATGGCTTGTGGATGATTGTTGAAGTTGCGGTCTGCTTGTTGATGACTTGGAAAATATGCAAGGAATGACCAAGCCGATGGGTCTTGCGTCTCTGACTTAAGACGCGAGGGCCAAGATGATTTGCCATATGAGAGAGCCTTTGAACTCCATCGACTGCTTCCAAAATTCCTAGTCTGATGTGGCAACGCTGAAACTGACTCCAAGTGTTATAGGTCAAGCGTTCACGATGTATGATGGAAATCCAAGAAGCGCGTAAGTCTCTTGACCGAACGACAAAACGCCTCAAAGCATACCAGCAGGTGGCGAACATCCAAACCTCGACGCCGGAACCCTGAATACAAGAAGTTTCGGAGGTCCAACTCTCCATATGAATGCAGCTTGACGTTTTGTTGTTCTTTCAACTGCCTGAATGAAAGGTTGAGTTAGATAAGTAAGCATGGACCTTGGGACATGCCTTGGAATATGCCGTATACCAAGCCTACACTAATGTATTCATAGAGCTACTTTGCCAATGCAGGAATAATCGCTCAATACGAACATGTGCCAAATAGTCGAGAGGCCCCTCGCTTTCGTGTTAAGTCTACGACCATGTCCTATCTTGCAGAGCTTCACCGGTGTCAAAAACAATATTGATAACATCAACAAACAAACCCTGGCACATATCCGAACCATTGGGGCTCTCCAAGAGACTCTTGATTCTACAGATATTGCCAGCGAGCTTCCGTCAAAAAGTCATTTGGTGTGCTCCAATTCAAGCCGTCATCCGACTTTTCACAAGAGCTGGACCTGACCTCAAAGCTTGAACAGCAGAAAATGATACTATACTGAGCATCTGCCGGTGAATTTTTGGGAAAGCATCGAAAGATCCTGATATGAGTTGAATGTGGTCTGTATGAGCCAAACGATGGCTCTATAGCCACCCGTTACCGACGACGAACCTTATTGCAGAGTGACGACTCTGAAACTAGAACATCAGTAGAAGACAATTCATATATGTGGCATAACAAATAAACTTCAAGAAGAAAAGGTATCGAAGTTGAGAGCCATCTGAACCGCGTCATACATCCACTGAACATCGACAACTCGCCGAATGGTTCACATCCTCAAAACAGAACGTAGGGCAAGCATTCTCAACATATCGATGCTCTAATCAATGCATGCAGATTTAAGACACAGACTGGCCAGGAACAGAACTGTTGCCATACATCGGCATGATCATAGTGTGTACCACTCTCCTTGGAGAGTACGGAGCAATTAAGAGGAAGCAAGCTGTGCAGACTAGTTAACGTAGTCACACACACCGACCTAAAACTTCAACCTCCGGTAGAGCTTTCGTCTTGGTTGACGGAGATTTCACGAGATCATTTGATGAGTATTCAGGCGAAACTGAGATACTAGGTATACTCGAAAGGTTGAAATTTCAAAGGTCTCAAATACCAGAATGCATTTCAAGGACCATCTTTTCCCTGTGAAAGTCTGTTTGTTCCTGGCT